TATGTATAAAGATTCTGGATCCAGTACTCACCACGTTTAAATCTATTTTATATTTAATAAAGTTACTATTCATTCAAACTACTGAGTAAATAATTCACTCATTAGAGTGGCCTTTGGCCACTCTACAGTATTATTAAACATTTGGCCCCATATCATAATGCTGATTTGGCTACATTAATGAACGGCCCCATTAAGACCAAACTTAAGTATGTTATGACCACTAAACCAAACATTTGTAATACAATATTATGTGTATTTATAGAATCCCAGAACATGTGAAATGGAGCCAAATGTCAATGGATGTATTCGCCAGTTTGTGGGCTGATTTCATGCGCGATGTGGTCAGTGATGTGGACTACCTGTTGGCCAACACAGACCTCAAAGTGGTTGTATATACGGGTCAATTGGATTTAGTGGTGAACACATTGGGAACACTCAATTGGGTTCATTCACTCCAATGGCCAGAACTGAAGAACTTCGAGATCGCAAAGAGGGAACAAATGAGCGGCGGTTACGTTAAAACATATAAGAATTTCTCTCTCTATTGGATTATCAAAGCCGGACATATGGTGCCCACCGATGCCGGCGATACAGCTCTCGCAATGTTTCACAAAATTATTCAATCTTAAATTGTTTAGCCAATTAGTAATAAATAAAATTAATATCTAACATGTTTATATACTTCTAAAGTTGATTGAATTATGTGTTTATATTGATATTTAAGTGTTATTTGTTATTATTATTAATAATTCAAATTTAAATGTCGTAAAGAATTATAAACGTAACGAACAAAAAAACTTTAGATTCAATAGAATTACAGATTAATTATTAATTATCAAATAAATTTAATTATATACAATATCTATATATTTCTATAACTTATTGCAACATAGGCATTTATTAATATTGCGGTTGTTTTTGTACTTTGTTAAAATGTTCATATAATTGATACAATTATTGCATAAAGTATTTAACAATCTTTAAACCTATTATTGATAACAAATCAAACAATTCAGGCTATAAATAATGAGCAAACAAATAGTTATTAATTCAGCAATTTTTGTGCAATTAATTATTGAATTCTAAAAATGTTTATTAAATTATTTTCTTTTGTGTTTTTGGCGTACGTTTTGTATATAACTAATGGTAAGAATATTCTTGCAAAACGTGATTCTAGTTTATACAACATTAATGTTTTTATATTCTGTGATATAATTAACAGATAAAGTGGAGGCATATCGGGAGGCGTCGGGTTATGTGAGCGTACGTCCGGGCGCTCACATGTTTTGGTGGCTTTTCTACACCAACTCTGGCAATAACTCGAATGCACTGCCGCTGGTTATATGGATTCACGGTTTGTCACTTAAATGAAATTTAAAATTAATAAAAGGAGATAATTTCAATATAATTATTATTTAAACCTTTGAGTGACATCTTTTTTGTAAAAATGTTTACAATCTTCATATATCTGTAAGTTTAATATGAATGACACTTTTAAGTACAGAGTAAATACTCAATGGTTGAATTTATTGATATTTAGAGACCCGGCTAACTCAGCATAACTGATTTTCAGTTTACATAGATGTGGCAATATTTATATCAAAAAATAATTAATTTAAATACATTGAAATATCATTAAAAGTAAATTAGTATACAAGCCATTTGATGAATAGGAGGTCCGGGTGCGAGCGCTACCGGTGATGGAAACTTCAATGAATTCGGACCATTAGACTCGGGTCTGAAAGTGAGAAACACTTCATGGATTAAATACGCGAATCTGTTATTCATTGACAATCCCGTGGGAACCGGATTTAGTTATGTTGACAATAGCAGTCTCTACGCCAAAAATAATGATGAGATCGCCAAAGATTTGTTGACTTTAATAAAGGAATTCTACAAAAAGTCGCCAGAATTTGAGGTAAAAATAGAATTAAATTCATTGCAAACAATATTTCCAACAGAATCTGTGATTTGATTCCCAGTCGACGCCATTGTATATATTCGGTGAGTCATACGGCGGCAAAATGACCGTCGGTTTTGCCAAAGAGTTGCATCGGGCCATTCAAGACAAGGAGATCAAGGCCACTTTCAAGGGCATAGCGTTGGGCGACTCCTGGATCTCACCCATAGACTCGGTGTCCACGTGGGGACAGTATCTCTACACTTTGGTATGATTACAACAAATTTATATTAAATCACTTTATTATTAATCAATTGTTTTACAAAGTCATACATCGATAGACACCAAAAAAGTGAAATCGATGCCAAAGCCGAAGAGATCAGAACCGCTCTAAAGAATGGCGAGTATGAAAAGGCGAGCAATAAGTACGCAGAAATGGCTGCTTTTTGTCTAACCACAGATGGTAATGTTAGCTGGCATAATATACTCTATGGATCACCCTTTAAACCTTTGGATGTATTAATGAACGGTCCCATTAAGACTAAACTTAAGTAAGTTATGATCATTGAAACAAACAAATAATATTCTAAAACAATGTTATATAGAATCCCAGAACATATCAAATGGAGTCAAACGTCAATCGATGTAATCAATAACTTATTGTCTGATTTCATGCGCGATGTGGTCAGTGATGTGGACTACCTGTTGGCCAACACAGACCTCAAAGTGGTTGTATATACGGGTCAATTGGATCTCATATGTAACACATTGGGAACACTTAAGTGGATTCATTCACTCCAATGGCCAGACCTGAAGAACTGGGAGATAGCAAAGAGGGAACAGATGGCCGGCGGTTACGTTAAGACACATAAAAAATTTTCTTTCTATTGGATTATTAAAGCCGGACATATGGTTCCCGCAGATGCCGGCGATACAGCCCTCGCAATGCTTCACAAAGTTATTCAGTCTTAGATTTGTTGACCGATTATTAAATGTGCAAAAACTGCTAAATTGCGATCAATTGTGTTTATAATAAAATCTAAAAACTAAAATGTTTATCAATATATCAATATTAAAAACATTAATACAATTAAAACACGATATAATTAAAAAGAGCACTAAAACAGATTTGGTTTATTGTAATCAAAGAATTTTACATAATTTTAAAGCAATGATTAGATTTGGTTTTAGTGGTTAAATAGCTTTTTCATTAGACTCTCGATATATCAA